AGATATTGATATTGATGTTCGTAAATGTTTTTATCACGACTTTTTTGCCGCGCAGTTAACGGCAATAATTGGTAACTGTAATTAACTCATAAATATAAAATTCAACGATTGCTACGACCCCAAAGCTACGTTATATTATATAATATTAAAGTAGTAAGTATTACTATAATTTATATTTACTACTTATGTTGATTATGATTCATAATTTATGGAAAAATTATAAGAAGAATAATTTTCTGAAGTAGNAATCACTGTCAGATTAAATCTATACTGGACCCAACTATGCAACATCCCCACTATGCCGCGACCCCACTGTGCTAGGTTTTTTTATATTGCCTGATAAAATTTCAAAATGGCTTAATTTAAATCTCGCACGCCCAAAAAAAAAAAAACTGGAATGACGCTCCTGCTGAACACTTTGTATAATTCTACGACAAAATTGCACAAACTTAATACTCATAAAGTGGCTCAAACATAATTTATAAATGCATATAATGCACAGCCCTAATTATGACATACCTAATATTTTGTCACCAAAATCTCAATTTAAAAAAGTTGACTTGTCTTATTTTTTCAATGTATCTTTCAAATATGATACAGAGTGTTCAGTAAATAAAAAAACATGTAAATTGTTATGAACAATGAGAACAATAGAAATCTGTTTCCTTACTAACTGAACATTCTATAAAACTAGGGGTAGCGAATCATTTTTGGGTCAAGTGCTAAATTTTTCCGGTTAGGATTTTGAAAATTTTTCACGTGACCAATTGAAATTACATTTTCTAAGAATAAGAATAATACAGATTTTTAAATTTTTTTGTTAAGGAGGTTCACATTTTTTTTGACATTTTATAAATGATGTTTTATTTAATTAAATATTCTTAAAATTGTTGTAAAATATATTTAATTTATGTATAATAATAACGATTGTAATTTAGTGTGATTTTTGTTGCTGTTTCTTAGCAGATAAAGTTTTGATGTCGGGAGTGTATTGTGTAACTTTTAATGAAACACAAGCAGCACTGGTTTCATCAGTCAAAGCATTACTTTCTTTCTATTTGATTAAATTCATTATAAAGTAAAAACTTTCACAAGCATAAGTTAACGAAAAAATTGAAAGTTTTGAATGAGATACTTTTTCCAATGTATAAAACGTGTCTGGAAGCGTATTCTAGGCTTTCAAAATTTTGTCTACATTTTTAACCACGTTTCCTTCGAGACGATTAATTTCTATTTGTTCCAATTGTTATCTTGAATCAATAAATTTTTGTTTCCAAGTGTTACAAGATTGGAAATTGATCAACTCAAATTTAAACGAATCAATATTCATCCATTTAAAATAATGTAAATTTAATTCATTGATATTACATGTATCAGTGAATTTTAAAAAACTTAATAAAACATTCAAATTGTTTAAAATTTTATATTAATCAAACCTTTTTTTGAACTGTTGAATTGTGTGTATTATAGTACTCAAAAACATATTTATGATTTCATCTAATTTTAGAGTCTCATTAATTTCAATTTCACTTAAGAGGACGCCACACCGCGGTAATTTTAGGCTTAAAAACTATCAAAAGTATAATCTTTATTACACGGTCTAAAGTGATCGTAGAAATTTGAAATTTTGAGGATATTTAAAAAACAATATTTCGAAATGTTTGTAATGGGCTTTTTTTTCTTAAGATTTATATTCTAGTTGTAACATTTTTGTAAAGATACAAGTTTTTTTTTTCAATCATAATATCAAATTCAAAATAGGGGTTCCCATATAAGAAAACTCAAGTTAATGTATTTTAAATTTGAAAGGATGAAAAATATCATGTTTTTACTACATATAATAGAGTTTTTTGAATCAAACAATATTTTCCTTATCAAAAATAAAATATTTTCCATTGTTAGCGAAAAAAATGAGTGTTTTAACCTTAATTAATCATTCTGTATACATGGTGATCAGTTTATCATAAACCACTTGATTACTCGCCATATAAATAAAATATTGAAAAAATGAAGTTTGATTTCTTTAAGTTACTTATAATTCTCGATTTATTATGAGATATTTATACTTAAAAAAAATTAAATAAAAATCTTGAAGGTAGTTTTTTGAATATTTGTGCGTTATATTTTTAACTAGGTATAATTTGGAATCTTTTGATGTATTATACAAAAATATCGGTCCAATAAGAACTAATATTAAATCGTAATTCATTAGCGACTGTAAGCGTTTTCATTAAAGACGTTGTGACTTCAAAATCTAACCGCAAAACCGCGATAGCTTACGCGAATAATTTCTACGGTGTCTAGGTAGAACTTTCAAATAAAAGAAATTTATCGAAATCTGAGCATGCCAAGTACCTTCACTAAAAACACGGATTTGTCGTAACTTTATTAGATCAGTAAGGAAATTTTTATACACCTCGATATTATCGATAGACAGAATTGATGATTGCAAAATCAAATAATGTTTTACTGTGACATATAAATAAACATTTCTATTTTTCGGAGAATTGAAACTGTCTCTATAATGGGATATTAAGATAACGTCACGGTCACTGACGACAACTCGCTGCTTGTGGTACGATTTTTGTCCACTCGACTAAAAAGCGCAGTTTTTTACATTTATTCTTCATTTTTATGTTTGACTTATAATTGATCTAATCCTGTTAGATTTCATCTTAGAGTTTTGAAATTTCGGGAAGGCGAAGAATGTAACATTTTGAAATGTTTGTAATGGGCTTTTTAAGATATCACTATTCATAAATAAACTGTTTAATTAAAAAAAAAAAAAAAAACTTGTATCTTTACAAAAATGTTACGGCTAGAATATAAATCTTAAGAAAAAAAAGCCCATTACAAACATTTCGAAATATTGTTTTTTAAATATCCTCAAAATTTCAAATTTCTACGATCACTTTAGACCGTGTAATAAAGATTATACTTTTGATAGTTTTTAAGTCTAAAATTACCGCAGTGTGGCGTCCTCTTCAGAATTTTTTTAAATATTTAAAATACTTCAATTTATGATTTTTTATAATACATATATATACATTTAATTTTACTTCAAATCCTTTTATTAAACTAAACATAAAATCTAAGCTTTTATCAGTACCTTGTAATTTTAAATTTAGTTCATTTAAATGTAAACAAAAGTCAGTAAAAAACATATGATTGCATAACCAATTTAAATAAGTTATTTCTATGTAATTATTGTGGTTTTAATTTAAAAATAATCGAGTTTCATGTAAGCATTCAACAAATCGTTCCAACATATGACCTCTAGAAAGCCAGCGAACATTATTTTAAATTACTAGTCCTTTATGCATAGAATTTACTTCTTCTAACAATAAACTAAACTGTCTTTTGTTTAATGCACGTACAATCATTAAAATATTTTCATACTGAATCAATCCGTCTTTAGCACTCAGCGCTTCTTGATGAATACAATGAAAAACAATTAAGGGGTGACCAATTTTTTTTTGAAAAAAGCGTAACAATGTAACCTTTTAACAATGAAAACAATCTTTTCGAATCATACTCGGAGCACCATATGTAGTTACTGATACAATTTTAGATAAATCTAAACTAAAATTTTGAAGCACATTTATAACTACTTTACATATTTTTTCACCAGTAGTTTTAGCTGGAATATATGCTAATTTTATAAGTTCTTTTCGAACTTCGTCCACATTACAGGATCTAGAAATTATTGAAAGGCGTGCGGATGATGTTATATCTGTACTTTCATTATATCTATATTTAGATTGTTTATTAACTGATTTTCAATATTAGAATTTATAGTTAGTATTCTTTCTTTAATAGTATTTCTCCTGAGTCATAAGTCTTTAATACGTTGCACAATTTTATCTTTATTGTCAAAATTGTTAAAAGTGTTATCGGCACAATCTAACCAAGTGGCTTTAATAAAGTCACCACCACTAAAAGGTTTCCTATGAATAGCAATAGATTTTCATCTATTGAACATCGAAACTTGCAAACGTTAAATTATTCGAATTTTTAACAAATTTAACTAATGTGTTACTTTGTAAATTTGTATTACATAATGCACGTGCAATATGACTTTTTTGTTCATCGGTAGATTTTGGAAAAAGTGTTTTATGAATAGTTTCAAAATGGCGTTTGACAGATGAAGTACAACATACAACACTTTGTGAACACAGTACACAAAAGGCTTTTTTGTTTATTAATATCATAACATACTTAGGTGTCCACCATTCTTGGAAATCTCGATCTGATCCATACAATTTTTTTTTCAATACGCCATCTTTTTTGAACAATTTTAAAAAGTTGTGTATGGCGTGGCGTTCAATGCACACACTGGTTGACGACGTGTAACTAATTAGTTCTATCGTCCTGTCATCCATCTAAGGTCGGCTTAAACGTGTGTGTATCTGTTATCGCCAAAGCAATCATGTACAACGACTGCTAGTTTTAAAATTAGAACTTTGCGTATCGATAAGAGTAAGTAAAATAATCATAATATTGAAGTCGTAAATAATAAATAGTACATTATAATAATTATAATTATTATAGTAACAATATATTAACATAATACATTTTACATAGGAAATATTATACATTTTGAACATGATTTGTTTCTTTGAATTTCTTATAATCAAAATTTTATAAGTAGCATAATTTTTTTTTAATTTAAATTTTTTTGCGTGTCATTGAAATTTGAACAACGTGCTACATCTGGTACGTGTGTCATAGGTTCGCCACCCCTGCTATATTATATGAAAAAGTAAAACACGACAATGAAACCGTTGCTATTATTAAATCAACTTGACTATCAATAATATTTATACGGGATAATTAAAATGGTAATATTTACAGTCGTAAATCATTCCTAAATAGCAAATAACATTTATAGAGTTGATAATATTATCTTGCCCCTCTCACTTATAGCGTTACTAAATAATTAAAATGATATTGTTTATTTATGTAGAGTAAACATTACATTACTTACCTACCTTATTTAATTGAAACTATAACAAAATGAATCATATATGTGTGATTAATAACTAATTGACCATTAGGAATTTGTGAAATTTATTAGAATTTAATTGAGTTATATTTTGGACTTCCGTTAAACTAACACTTTATTTATTGTCCGTAATTTGTATTAATCAGTTTAGTCACTAAGGCTAATTCAATAAACAGTAATCGCAGTAATAATATTTCAGCAACAATTGCAACACTACTGATAACTTATACATCGATATAGTGGGCCTATATAATTCTACATCGAATTTTTATTGGTAAATATTTTAATATTACTTATTTTAATAGTTAAAAAAAATTGTTATTCATTAACAATTAAAATATTTGAATTTCTGTAGTTGTTAAAACATGTTGAAAAAATTTACAATGACTTTTTATAGATATCCTGAAATTATTTTTCATATATATTTTTTTAAATAGTTGTTTAGGAGACCATTTTCCCGACCATATTTTAAGACTTAATAACCTTTTTTTTTTATAAAAATAGAATACGAACTGAAATTTTTTAAAAGGTATAAAAATAATATGAATATACAGATAAGTCACGAAATGACAAATTCTAAAACTTTTGATTCAATTAATATTTTATGATAACTTCTTTTTAAATAATTTTTATACTTAATGACTATGCAAATAACACAACATACTTTATTTTTCTAATTTATTAAAAAATTTTTAATTTTACGAAAAATGTAAAAATAAAAATTCAGTTTTTCATAAATTTTAAAATGCTACAGATAATTTTAAAGTTTATGAAAATTTGATTTTTTGTATTTTTTTACGATATCAAAGAATGTAATATGAATTGAGAAAAAGACAGAAGAAAATGAAATATTTTCACGCTAAATATTAAAGAAATAATATGAATTTAAATATTGAATACATTTTTTTTAACAACTCAAAGATATGTTCTTAATTTTACTGGAGTATATGAAACTATAGTCATATAGTCTGTGGTTAAATTATCATTCACTTATAATAAATTAATATCAATGAGATGTTATAAAATAGGTAATATTACTACTTGAATTTTATGTTCAATTATAGGCGTTCATTTTAGCGTAGTGAATTTTCATGGAAAAAATTACTAATTATAAATTATAAAGTTATTGTATGCAGAGTGATTTTTTTAATATACACTCGATTACTCTTAAAATAATACTTATACTAACAAATTCTCTTAGTTTTGAAAGTGTTCCGGAAATACTGACACTTTTATATATATCTTAAATTAAAATTTATGTAATATACTTAAATATAAAAAAAAAAAAATTTTGGACTTTATTTTGTCTTCATGGTGAAAATAGCTACCGTATTTAAAAATATGCTATTATTGTGTTAAAATTCTTAGTTTTGTATTTTATTTTATTATAAGGGGATTACATTGATTTTCATAAATATTATATCAATCTAAATGACATAGTATAAGAAATTAATCATATTTTAATTTTTTTGTTTCTTTGAAGTCGAGAAAAATAACTTTAAAATTTGAACTAGCTAAATTTCCATTTTTATTAAGTGACGAATGAGACGTACGGTTTTTGAGACGGTAACACTTGGGTCTTTCACGACTGTGGCACTGAATTTTTTTTTATTCTTTTTGAGTTAAAAAAAAATGTTTAACTCATTTGATTTTTATGTCATTTAGCTTTCAATAACTTCAATAAATATCAAGGATCCCATTACTGTAGTCTCCTCTCGTGAGAAAAAATTCATATTAATATTATTTTACTATGTGGTTTTTTTTTGTAGCTATCATTTATTTTCTCAGTTCTCATTTGACCTACTTTTTTGACAAATTTTTTTTTTAAATTAAACTCTATCTACAGATTTGCATCGAAGCGTTTTTTATGATAGTGATTTTAATCACTGTCAGATATCATCTATACTGGACCCAACTATGCCACGACCCCACTGTGCCGCCACCCCACTGTGCTGGGTTTTTATTATATAATATATATATTTTTTTCCTTTATTTTCCCTAAATTCATCCCTTATACCCTAAAAGTGTGTCAACTTAATTTTAATTAATGGCAACATACATATTTATCTAGCTAATGAAATAAAAATGATTTAACTAAGAAATTTCAAAAATAATTTTTAAAATAATACTTGAGAAGTTATTAACATTTTAAAATATAAAGTGGAGGAAAAGCGTGGCAGAGTAGTGCGTAATTATATACATATTAAAATCCACATTTCATCACTATTCTATATTTTAAAACAGTTATTACTTGTTAAATAATTGGTTTAAAGTTGTCATTGACATTTTCTTAAATAGATCATTTTTTATTTTTTATGCTATTTAAATATGAATGTTGCCATTATAAAATAAAGTTGACCACATATAAGGTATTAAGGTTGAATTAAAAAAATTATAATTAATAAATCAAAAAATACATGTAACTAAAAAACACCATGAATGATTTTTTTAAGATATATTATTTTAAGAGAAATCGAATACATACGATTGGCTATTAAAATACTGAGTCATTCTATATTTCGTTATGTCAATATATAATAAGCCATTGATAGCTAGAACGATTTTTTTTTTTTGAAGAGCATCCCTTTTAATATACTTATTGAATTGACATTAAAAGCGGTAAAATATTTAACACTAGCACTTAAATCATACCTCCTCACTTCTATTGAATTATAATAATTAACTTAAAATATACACAAATTAATTGAATAAAAAAAAAATTGTAATTTTTTAACAAAATAGCATTATTTGTTTAAATTCGGGAGGCGTTTACATATAGAAGACAAGGTATAGAGATAATTTTTTTTAACTTATAATATGTAACATAAGCTTTAATTTAATATGTGCTTAAAACTCGTAATATATCCGAATTATATGCAAAAGTTAAGTTGAAAAAATAACTTTCCTACTGTGGACAGGTAAAAAATATTTTCTAAACATTTATATCAAATGAAAAGGTAAATACCTATAGTACTTATATAAAAAAATTATTTTGATTCGTTCATTTTTCAAAAAATTATAAGTTCAAAAAAAAAAAATCCAAACTAATGGGCAAATGGTATTCAAAATAATAATAATAATACATCACAATAAAATGAATATCTACTCAACTTTGCATCGAAGATAAAATATGATAATAAGGCGAATTGAAAAATAGTGTAAGTATGAGGTTTGTTTGTAAAAAATAAAAACATTTTTTTTTATTTACAATGACCCTGGTGAGTAATTATTTAAGGAATTATATTTGGCGAATGTGTATGTATAACTCAACTTCAACACCCCAGCCTTTTGCTTTATTTAAAAAAGAAAACATTTTGAGTTGTTGAATAATTATAATTTAAATATTACAGTAAGAATGAAGTTTGTATAAAACGTGACCCTAATTAAATTAAAAATACTGGAAATGTTGAAATTATGTTCACAAACAAAATTTTTATATATAAAATACCAACTACGCTACTAAAAAATATTGCCTATTATTATCCAATAAACCTATTGCAAAACACCTTCTTTACTAGAATATTCACAACTTTATTATCAATATTATTAACTATTTGAAATAGACTTATAAATAAACAGACAATACATTTTACTTCCTCTATCCATGAACCGTTGAAAATCGACATGTCTCTCCTAAATAATTTTCCGGTTGTTTTAAATTAAGTTAATAACAGTTTCAGATGAATTAATTTTAAATTGTCAGAAACTTAAATTCAAATTAAAAATTTGATGGCTGTTACGGGCGTATATATACAAAAATATAGCATAATTAAGGTATGTTCAAAGACCCTCAAGAAATGTAACAGTTACATTAAAATTTCAAATAATTACTAGGGCCATTGCAAACAAATGAAAAATATATATTTTTAAAACTTATAACCGTTATTTACACCATTTTTTTATTCGCCTTATTATTATATTTTAAATTATTAAAATAATCACAAAAAAAAAACGTTTCATATTGTTAAAAACAAAGATTTTTATTTTTGTTTATAACTACAGCTTATCACGCAATAAAAACCTTTATTTTCTAAAATACACTGGCAATTTTATTGATAATAAATATTTTATCTATCAGAGAAACACTTACTCTTTATACTATGAAAGAGAAGAAGAATAAAGATTGATTGATTAATCCTTAATATTATTAAAAATGTTATAAATATTGTAAAAATATTTTTATACCTTTACAAAAATTGTAGGTATTTTTAAAAAAATGGAAGTTAAATAAAAAAAAATATTTTATATCTAATCAGAAAAAATAACTTGCAAGGATTATAAGGTTGTTATTAATATGAAAGAATTGAAAAACTGATTAGTCAGTGAAGTAAATAAACTTAAGTCGTAAGTTCTGAGACAATATTAAATATAAAACTATTTAGTTTTTACATATTATATATATCTTCTTAAATATTAAATTATGTCAAAATTAATTTCATTCAAAATCATTTTTATTTTAATTATTTTATATTTTACTACGTACCATTAAGGAAATGGATGATGATTTAGACATATATATTGAAAAATATTGTAAAAGATGGCGTCATGTGATGCTGCTTTTAATTATGGCTAGTACGCCTGGTATATTCAATGCAATGCAAATAAGCTCCTATGTTTTTATTGCTGATCGGCCATCACATTGGTGTGATGTACCTATTTTACAAATGGCTGAGTGGGATAATAAAATGATTTTGGATGTTTCAACTCCGTAAGTTATTACAATCATTTATTCTACAATTTAATAAAATTTAATGGTCTAATTTTATAAATTAATATTTTTTAAATTTTGGTGAAATCATTATTCAAAAATTATAATTTTTTTAATATCAAGTTGGGGAAAAGGTCTAACTGCTTTTTCAAAATTTACAGTAGCAACTATTGTAAGTTTTTGTTTTTAAGTTTAAAAAATACACTAATAAATATTAAATGCAAAACCATTATTTACCACGTTTTTTTAATCTTAAGCTAATGGGTTATTTATATGTATGAATTATTATACACAATTGAAATTTTTGTATTTATAAGAGGACAGTTTAATACTGATATCAAATTTGAAAATTCACAAGTATATTATAAATTATGATAATTTTAATATTTATTGTTATTGAACCATTATATTTTGATTTTGGTATCAAATTTTTGTGCTAATATCGATATTCAATTATCTTTAAATCTTTAATGATTTTTAGCTGAACACTAGTAAATAACACATTTTTAGTTTTGTCGTGTAAAGCATATTTAAACCTTCAAATTCTATAGGAAAAAATAATTATTTGCTAACGGACAACATTTTTTATTCTTTTTTAGTTCTATATAATTGTCTAGATTACTTGGTTTGTATCAAATCAACCTAAAAATCAATAGTTTTTATATTTGTAAAATTTATTTATTTTTGTTTGGTTTTAGTTATATACTTAACTATTTTTTTAGATCTCTAATGAAAATGGGTAAAATTGAAGAATGCAATTATTACAATAGAAATTATTCAATTCTTGCCAAAAATGGTTATGAGTGGTCAATGAAACATTTAGAAAATGCTAGTTTGATACCTTGTCAATACTATAATTATGATAAAAAAGAATCCATTACTACAGAAGTAGGTTATTATAATAGGAAATTTCAATAAAATTTTATTTTTTAATCAAACATTTTTAATTTTAAGTGGAATTTAGTCTGTAATAATGAAGTTCTTAAATCTAGTATTCAAGCATCTTTTGCATTAGGCAAATTCATTGGTGGTTTATTTTTTGGACTACTGTCTGATAAATATGGACGGAAGTTTGTATTCAATATTTCTGCTTTTATCTATGTAGCATCTTGTCCAGTTACAGCAATATTGAACTCTTATATATGGTTTCTTGTTGCTCGAATTTTTACTGGTTTTGCAACTGCTGGAATTTATCAAACTGGATACACAATTTGTAAGTTATAAAAGTTATTTTTAATATTTTAGTTAAAACATTTAACAATTTTATTAGTTATTTTTAGTGACTGAATTAACAATTGGAAAAACACGTACCTGGGCTTGTCTTTTATTAAATTTTTCTTATCCTATTGGTTATGTTTTATTAGCAATTATTGCTTATTACATACACCCTTGGAGAACATTACTACTTGCTTTATCTTTACCAGTTTTATCTTTAGCTATTAATTGCTGGTAACAAATATTTATTTTTTTTTTAATTAAATTTGTTACTATAAATATTTATTGTTATAGGTTAAATTGTTAATTTTGTTATAGGTATCTTCCTGAATCTCCTAAATGGTTATTATCTAAAGGAGCGAAGAGATTAGCTTGGGCTACTATGTCAAAATTAGAACCAACTGCAGCTTATAAAGAAACTGAAAATGATAACTTTACTAATATAATGGTGAATAATTAAATATTAGTTTATTTGAAAGGTTACAATACAAAACGTACTACTTCCAAAAATACAAATTTTCAATATAGACAATTTTCTAAATTCAAAAAGGTATGTTTTACGCAAAATCATTATATTTCAATCAATTTTTTATAAGAAAAAGTGCATTTAAGTATAAAATTATTTGTTTCTGCATTTAAATAATAATAAAAATTTATCCTTAACTTAAATTTGATAATAATAAAAAAGTACATTTTGCATTGTAACACCTCAATTAATTGTAAATACATTTATTGTTACATATTTTTTATCAGCCAAAAAAAAATCAAGGAATGTTTACAGAATGGTTTTCTACATTTCTATTAATGTTTTCCTCTTGGGACTTAAGTATGAAAACAACAATTGCTTTTGCATCTTCTTTTGTGGTAGGTTTGGCATATTATGTAATTGGTAAGTTCAAAGTTTTGCTAAATTATTTTGTGTTTTCATGAAACTCATTGTTTTTTTTTTATTTATTAATAGTTTTATTTGAAGAGTAAAAATGTTATTTTGTTAAACATGTTAAACAAAACATGCTAAACAAAAAAATAATATTAAGTATTATAATTTTAAATAATTAAAAAACTGTATTTTTATAAAAAAAATTATTTTTCAAATAAAATAGTGACAATTTAATTTTAGAATTTAAAGATATATAAAATTTATTAGAAATATACTTTTTAATTTTTTAAAATATTTGTCATTTTTACTCTTCAATTATATTTATAAAATTTATTTATGTATGTAAATTATTAGTTATAATATTTAAAATTAAAACTATATTAAAAAAAATATTAAACTCAAAAGGTACAAAAAATTGCGGATATATAATTTTGAAACAATGCTATCATTATCAACACTAAACACATACTATACATACAGTATGTCTTTAGTTTAATGTGTTTGTTAGTAATTTTTTGTGAATTTTTAAGTTAAATATATTTAATCTAATTTTAATTTTAAATAATATTAGCCACAAGTGATCAATTTTTATTATATAGTTAAAATATTTTTAATATTTAATGTATTATTCAAATTAATATTTATTATTTCTAAATTATTTTATAAAAAATTCCTTTAAAAAAATAAAAATTATGAAAACTATCTGATCTTTGTAGAACTTTTTCAAGTGGTAAAAAATGTTGTAATTAAAAATCATCCCACTTGTAGAAAGTGTCCTACGAGTTTCTGATAAGTTCATATACTTTTCTTATAGCGATTTGTCAAAATTCCTTGGAATACTGTATATATATATTAGGGTGGTTCTTAAAATTAATGTAGTAATATTTAAAAATTATACAATCTCAATTAGTTACAATACTTATAAAAATGAAGTACGCAATGTTTCAGGTAAATCAGAAAAGATTAACCCGTGCCACAAAGGCCACTAAAGTTTGAAAACTCAAAAATTTTGGATAACCGTACATTTTTCATTGTTTTTTTAGTTTAGCGAGTGAAATAATGGATTCACAACAAAATTGTAAGAACTAAAATTGTTTAAAATAATATTTTACACAAATTATATTCTGAACAATCTTTTGATTTACTTATTATTTATGTATAAAAAGTCAATATATAAATTATTTTGTTGTTAAATACACAAAATAAAGTGAATGTTAGTTTTAGTTTTTCAACTCGTGGTAATTTTAGTAATTTATCATAACAGGAATGTATAATCTTGAATAAACTTTATCAAACCATCAAGTCATAATTTATTACAGGAATGACTAAAAAGACGATAAAGTCTTTATCAAAACTCATTACTAATATTTGTCCTAACTATATATTTTTCAGGTTATTGTTTTCATTAGTTCTACTGCGCCCGTATGATCATTTTTAGATCGTATACATTTTGATATTTTTTAATAATTTTGATATTTTAACATTTTTTTAATACATATTAAAATGGCTTCACGGAAAACTTTACGAGAAGATACATTTATATTTTTGATTGGTTTCCCGTCAAACCAAATTATTGGTAGTAAATTACCGTCAATAAGACAAGTACTATCGGTTTTTTTTTTAATATTCGTCATGTTAACCTGAGCATACTTGAAAGCTCTAAACTGACAATATAAGAGGTAAGTATTTTTTGTCAAAAAGCGCGTATACCTATCAGTGTTGAACAGTATTATCGTAAATATTACGATGAATGGAGAAATTTACAAAAACTGCAATACAGAAAATCTGACACTCAAGCAAAAAAAAATGAAGAATTTAGTTTAAAACTAAATGATTTGTTTGACATTGCTCAAGTTGATGTCCTTAATTTAATGTCATTACAAGAAGATAGAGATTTTTTATTAATGCAAAGACAAAAAGGATGTCCTGGTATTATGTTAGGAGTTGATTTGAATATTGCACAAAAAGAAAAAAGAGCCAATGAAAGGTTAAAGATGTCCGAAAAATGACGTAAAAGAAATTATGACGAGATACAGTCATTGAGTAAGTTTAATGCTGTTTTAGAATTATTATTTAATAATTAAGAATGTATTTTAGATGCGCAAGTAGAAATGTGTTCATCATCAGAGTCTGACGTTGCTGAAGATTATTTTAACAAGCCTGGACCGTCTAAACTGTACGTTAAACAACCAACTAGGGGAAGAATTGATTTTATTACGCCAAAACTTGTAGCTGCACTCAATAAATGCAAAATTAGCGATAAAGATGTAGTTCATATATTAATTTCAACAGCAGAGGCATTAGGTGAGGACGTTGAAAAATTAATTATAATCTTCAATTCGAAATTCACGCATACGTTTCCGTAAAGAACGCGCTGAAAAAATCGGTAATAATTATTTGGTAACTATTAAAGATTCCGTTGTCATTCATTGGGATGGTAAACTTTTACCTTCATTAACAGGACAAAAAAGTGTTGATCGACTTCCCATTATTGCTTTATGTAATGATGAGAGTCAATTACTAGGAGTTCCAGCAATTGATACGGGAACAGGGGTTGATCAGGCTGATGCTATTTTTCATATACTTATTGATTGGTGTATTACAGAAAATGTACAGGCTTTTTTATGTGATACTACGGCTTCAAATACGGGTAGATTGAAAGGTACTTGCGTGTTATTAGAAAATTACTTAGAACGTAATATTTTGTACTTACCATGTCGACACCACATCTACGAGCTAATATTAAAATGTGTTTTTGAAGTTAAATTACATCTAACATCTGGTCCTGATGTACCAATATTTAAACGGTTTCAATAAAATTGGAGAAATATAGATATTAACAAATTTGAGCCAGGTATAATGAACGACATTGTAAAAAAAACATAAAGTGATGTATGTACTGATGTAACTATTTTCGCAAATAGCTATTTGCTTATAAAACAAACCAGAGAGGATTACAGAGAGTTTTTAGAACTAACAATTATTTTTCTTGGTGGAGTTTCCTTTAGAGTTCCGGGAGCTATCCATCATGCTAAATTGATGGCAAAAGCTTTATATTGCTTAAAAATATTTATATTCCGAAAACAATTTAATTTAACCCAAAAAGAAGGAATGTCAATATCTAGTATTTGTATATTTATTATTAGATTATACGTAAGAGCTTGGTTTAATGCACCACTTGCTTCTAATGCACCATACCAAGATTTAAATTTTTTAAAAGATTTGGTAAATTATCAGTCAATAGATAAAAATATATCAGAAGTTACAGTTAAAAAAATGTGTGGTCATTTATGGTATCTATCGCCAGAGAATACGGTATTATCACTTTTTGATACTAATGTTCCATTTGATACAAAGAAAAAAATTATAGCTACTCTAAAAATCCATACAGATGATGATGTACCAAAAAAATATTTATTGAATACAATAGAAGCTACTAGAATATTAAATGAAAATCTTGAAGATTTTATTTGTGGAAAATCGATGCAATTTTTCAAACGTTTTAATATAGATACTAGTTTTCTGATCATTGACCCATCATTATGGAGCACTGATGAACATTTCAAGATATCAATATTAATTTTAATATCAATATTTAATAATCTTATTAATAGCATTAATGTAGTAAATGATATTGCTGAAAGGGGTGTTAAACTAATGGAGGAGTTTAATACCAAAATAGCAAACGATGAAAAACAAAAACAATACTTGCTTCAAGTAGTAAATGATTACCGCAGTAAATATCCGGATTTCAAAAAGAGTATTCTTTTAGATAATTAGTTGAATGATTAATTTTTAGTTTTTATGTTTGATGTGTTTTTGTAAATTTAAATAAAAAATTTTTCGTATTATAAAATTAACACTGAATTCACTTTATTTTGTGAGTTTTTAACAACAAAATTATATATATTGACATAAACAATAAGTAAATCAAAAAATTGTTCAGAATATAATTTGTGTAAAATATTATTTTAAACATCTTTTGTTCTTACAATTTTGTTGTGAATCCATTATTTCACACGCTGAACTAAAAAAACAATGGAAAATGTACGGTTATCCAAAATTTTTGAGTTTTCAAACTTTAGGCTTTTTGTGGCACGAGTTAATCTTTTCCGATTTACCTGAAACATTATGTACCTCATTTTTATAAGTATTGGAACTAACTTTGATCGTATAATTTTAGGAAAGTTAAGTTTTTTCCATTAAATGCAGTGTTTTATCAACGTACGAAATTCGTTTTAATCCATTGTTTACAAAATAACAAAAGTAGCTTCACTTCAATGACTGTAACTTAGGAATGCTTTGTTTAAATGTCATGAAATTTTAACGTTTCTTTTTAGGTCGGTACTAACTAAAAATCATAAGAATAAATTATTAAAGTCGCCATCTATGAGTCAGTCCTGGGACTTTTCAAACAACCTGTTATTATGTACATATACCAATCATCTAAATAAATGTTATTACAATAAAAAAATTAATTTAATAATAATTAGATTTGATGTTTTTTTGTGAGAAGGTGAACAATTTAAATTTTGTCATTTTTAAATTATATTGGGCATTTTCTTCTGTGTTTTGTGGTATCAATATTATTTTCATATATAGTTTAGTTATTGTTTTATTTTACCACCAAGTAAAAATATTTTGTGTTTTTGGTTTTAAGTAAAATTACTTTATTATTTTTGACTTGATTACCTTCTGACTAAAAATTATAAATCATAACTATTTCACTTATTTTTATTTCTCTTAGCATTGAATGGTGATAATTTAACAGCAGATCGTTATTTATATGTTAGTTTAAATGGCATTGTTGAAGGATTTGCTTATATTGCAACGATACCCTTACTTTTTTATGTAGGTCGTAAAGTAGCAACTTCAAGTCTTTATTTTTTATCTGGAGTATTATTAGTTGTTCTATTAGCTGTACCTAAAGGTTAGTATATTTTAATTTTTAATTTTTTTGAAATTTGAAATTTGAAATTTTTAGGAAATATTGTTACAATAATAATTATTGCATTGCTTGGAAGATTTTGTGTCAGTGCGGTATTTTCTATAATTATTCTATATATATCAGAAATATTTCCAACATCAATTCGCAATACCAGTCTTGGAACATCATTAACTGTTGCACAAATAGGAGCTATTGTTGCACCTTATGTTGTAGAATTATTGGTATTCTTTTATTTTTATTTAATTTAAGATTAAAACTTATATGCTATTATGGTTTTTAGGGAGCAAAAGCATGGTACATTCCTAGTACATTATGTGGATTACTGTCCATTTTTATTTCATTCGTTATTTTATTATTACCCGAAACTAAAGGGACTAAATTACCAAATTCAATAGACGATATGAATACTTCTAGTCCAGTTTCATTTAAAAATATTTGTAAATTTTGATTGATGTTACTACATATTTATACTCTAGGTTGAATAAAAGTTGATTTTTAAAATAGCATATTAAACATAAAAAATTTAGCTACAACATTTTTGCTTCGATGAAAAGAAAAGAAGGCATTAATTTTACTAAGATGTGTTTTTTTTTTATCTGTTACCACATTTTCTTAGCTCTCACCTAACCAATTTCTTTCAATGATATGTCAAAATATCATAAATTGTATATAGTCGATGACATTACCCTTATACATTCAAATAATTTACATCGTTCTCCGTAAATGAGAGTAATACACTAAAAAATTCGTAATTTTCTACATTTTATTAGTTTTTTTTCTTAAATCTGCTTTAACTTTTTTAAAAAAGAATGAATCAAAAAATTTTTTTTTTTAATACCTTAGGTAGTTCACTTTCTGTAGGTATATATTTATTGAAAATCTGATCCTTTACATCCCCACAGGAGGGTTTCAAAATAACAATTTTTCCCCAACAAAATAACTTTTTCAACATAACTTTTAAAGCGTTTTTTCAAATTATGAATCCTTTCCAAATAAAAATTTAAAACAACTACGAAAACGTGTTTTTTTTGCGTATATGTTTTTTTCTTCATAAATTAACAAATTTTCTTAGTTACATTAAATAAAAAATAAACAAGAAACACAATAAAATAATAATTGTAATAGATGAGTGTTTAATATTTTGGAGAAAAGCGCGTATTCCTACACAGTTTACTTCAGACTGTGTTATTAAATTAAAAAAATTGTATGAGAAATGGAGAATGTTGGACAAAAATAAATCTAGAAAAACAGAAACACAAGAACAACATTATAATATTTTTTCTGAAGAATTAGACAACCTCTTTGACTTTTCTCATATCGAAGCTCTGAATATGATGAGTTTTGAAGAAAACAAACAGTTTTTATTGTCACAACTTAAAAATGGCCGCCCAGGGTGCATGCTTGGTATTGATATGAAGTTAACAGGTATTGAAAAACGTAAAATTACTCGACAAGAAGAAGAAGATGATTGAAAGAAAAAAGAGAAATTAGAAATTGCAAATTGTACAGGTAATTATTAAATATTACACAATAATTTCAGTACGTTATAAGTAAGCAGTTTTTATATACCGAAATATTTTATTATTTAGCCGAAACTCAATATTATAGCAGCTCTAGCTCGGAGGACGAAGATATTGATATGGAGGAAAATGTTGAAGAAATGAGTCAATTACCTGGGCTTTCAAAAGAAGTAAATGCACTAGAAGATAAGTGTTGTTTTGTAGTTGAATGTTATATTAAAATGTCGTTTTCAGCTGCGAATATTATAACAGATCCTGTAATGATTTAATGTTATTAAAAAAGTTATTAAATTACAGTAATAATAAACTAGGAGAAGTAGCTATAAAAAAATTTATAAACCATTTATGATATTTAAATGATGAGTGTGCTGTGTTTTCTTTATTTGACGATAGATTTGACATTAATATTAAACAGCGAATGGTAAAAAAAATATTATAAGGTTATGAACAGAGCACGAATGAAGAGCCAGAAGAAAATGAAGATTCAAGTAAAAAATTAATTTTAAAATATGAAGATTTATCAGATTTTCTAGAAAAAGATCTTCCTTTTTCGTTGCTCAGCAACAATTCATGGAAATTATTCGAGCGATTTAAATTAAAATTCAAGTTTTTAATGAAGATCCTATCACATGGGAAATAATGGATACAATAACGCCAAAGAAATATTATCCTCGACAAAAATAGTAAACGACAGAATTCAACGACAAATTTGGGATGAAAATCAAAAGCAATTTATATTACAAGTATGAAATTATATAATAGTACTGCAAAATTTTAAATTATTATATTTGTATTATAACCTTTACTTTGGACTATTTTAGGTGGTGCAACAATATCACCAGCTGTATCCCAAGTGTAGCCAAGAAATTTTGAATAAAAAATATTCAAATAGGAAAAAACTATTATTGTGATAAACAATTATTATTTTATTGTGTTTCTTGTTAATTTTTTATTTAATGTAACTAAGAAAATTTGTTAATTTATGAAAAAAAAAACATATATGCAAAAAAAATTAAAAAAAAAACACGTTTTCGTAGTTGTTTTAAATTTTTATTTGGAAAGGATTCATAATTTGAAAAAAACTCAAATAATCTTTTTTATAGAAGATATCATGGTGATTAATATTAATTTTGTACAATTTCTGCGTACAATTAAAATATAACACACTGGAAAAGTATAACTGAAAACTATGTCATTTTTTTAAAAAAATTAAGTGAAACTGATTTTTCTTATTTTTACAAAAAATATTATTTTTACAAAAAAAATAATAAATTACCTTATTTTTTGTTCACATTGAGTTCTATAAAAATTGTATTTTTGGCAAAACTTCAAAAATAAAGAGCGTAAACTCAAAAAAAGAAAATCTACCCAAATTTTGAAGAACTTCAACCCCTTTGAGGCCCGTGAAGGGGTTGACTTATTGTACTCAAATTTTACCAGTTTCATTTTATCAGTGAACCTAACGAAATTTTGAGCCCATGACTCTGAATTTATGAAGTTGAAAAATAAGGACCACCCTAATATATATATATATATATTGTAGCTGAGAATATTCTAAAAATTATTTGATATAAAACTCATAAAACATTTTTTGCATTTTTTCTTAATTCTTTTTAAGTTAGTATAAATTTTTAAATCGTTTGATTTTTATCTCATTTAGATTCAATAACTTCAATAAAGATCAAGGATCCCATAATTTTAGTCGCCCCTTGTAAGAAGAAATTTCTTATTTGTATTAAAATTATTTTAAGTTTTAGCTTCGATGCAAAGCCGAGAAGATATATTTTTTTGACTATCATTTATTTTCTCTGCTCTTACTTGACCTACTTTTTTCAACGATACGTCAAATGACTACAATTCGTATCTAGTTGAAGATATTACCCTCAAAAATTGAAAATAAAATTCTAATTAATCAATTAAAAAGTTAGTTATTACATCGTCTCCATAAAGACAATTAAAATCATTCATTTCTAATGTTTTCAAAATATTTATTAACGAATGAAGTTTGATATGATAGGTTTCAACTACAAAATTAAATAATTTTACTTTGTAATTTAATAATTTTTTTACTCTATTTGTGTGTGCTACTACTAGACTATAATATTACAATATTTTTTGTAACATGTTGCTATATAAATCATTTCTAAAAAAAATGATTGTTTTTTCTCCTGAATTAACAATTGATTTTTACAAATATAATCAAATTTTATAATACACTTGTGGCGGTCGAATGTTCTAGAATGTTCGGCCGCCGCCGCCTCTAGAAGATTCATCTGACTATTTAAAGGCAATATCGTCGCTCCAGTGAATCAATCGATCAGTCAATCACTTACGCATTCTGTCTTAAACGCACTTTGTCTCTCGCTGTTATTTGTTAGTTCGTTGTAATATAGTATAGTTGTTATTAAATCGTAAAAGTGTTTATTACTTCTATATATTACACCTCGCTACACACTCAATTGAGTAAATTTTTTTTTTANAACTCAATTGAGTAAATCTTTTTAACAACTTTGTTTTGATTGGTTCATTTAGTTAAAGTAAATCATTAAAATTAATTAAGTTCCCAATATTTCAATTGTAGAATCTTTTCTACAAACAACAAAAGTTACTAGGAAATTATTACTATTACTTCTATTTAAGTAATCTATTACCATAAAAATGCAAAAAAATATTGAGCTTTTGTGATAAATTTACAATAAATAGTAATTATAAAACTTTCTGACTGCATATTGATCTTAACGATACAATTTTTTTAATTGTCATAAAATTTTCTATTTAATTATGTCAATGTCAAACTTACCAATTGAGCTAAAAGTTATGGTAAAATAAATTTTTTTTTTATTATTATAAACATTTACAACAATCAACTTTAAACGATTAACAAAATTGGTTAAATATGTCATTTTCCTTATTTTTAACTTATTAATAATCAAATTAATATTAAATATTATATCAAATCAGTATTAATTTAAAACAATTTTTTTTGTTCTTAATTATTTTTTTTTATATGTAAAAACTATTTTTTAATAATATTAAAACTTAGAAGTTATAGAAAAAGTCTAATTGCACATTTTAAAACATCGCGAAAAGTTGATTTAGAATAGTATATTTTTGTTTCTGATGGAAGTTCCTTGTAGTCCAGTGTATAAAACTTATAACTTTGTTAATTGTTATAACTTTATCAAAAATGACCAAATCAGTATATTTTTTTTTATTTAGATGCATGTCTTTATCTATCATTTGGTTTTTTTTATAAATCTAACCCTTTACCTGCCCACAAGAGGGATTCAAAATATTAACTTTTTTTTTTTTAGTTAAAGTAAATCATTAAAATTAATTAAGTTCTCAATATTTCAATTATAGAATCTTTTCAACAAACAACAAAAGTTCCTAGGAAATTATTACTATTACTTCTATTTAAGTTATCTATTACCATAAAAATGCAAAAAAATATTGAGCTTTTCTGATAAATTTACAATAAATAGTAATTATAAAACTTTCTGACTGCATATTGATCTTAACGATACAATTTTTTTAATTGTCATAAAATTTTCTATTTAATTATGTCAATGTCAAACTTACCAATTGAGCTAAAAGTTATGGTAAAATAAATTTTTTTTTTTATTATAAACATTTACAACACTCAACTTTAATCGATTAAAAAAATAGGTTAAATATGTCATTTTCCTTATTTTTAACTTATTAATAATCAAAATCAGTATTAATTTAAAACAATTTTTTTTGTTTTTAATAATTTTTTTTTATATGTAAATAGTATTTTTCAATAATATTAAAACTTAAAAGTGATAGAAATAGTCTAATTGCACATTTGAAAACATCGCGATATGTTGATTTAGAACAGTATATTTTTGTTTCTGATAAAAGTTCCTTGTAGTATAGNGGGGAGTGAGGTATGGTGATTCAATTGTGTATGATTTGTCACGACTGGTCTTTCTTAATGACCATGTAGTGTATTTAGGTACGCGTCTATAAGTACGCATCGTACGTGTCGGACGAATCGTATGAAACCTATTTTAGAATTAATAATATTAGG